TACGTAATCTAGCTAGTTGCAAGTTTTAAGTGATTTAATGCTTATCCTAACAACTATCGAGAATTAAGTCTAGAAAGCGAGAGATTTGTGAGGTCGATGTGGAACTGTTAAATTTTTTCAAGACGACAATTTACGATGACTTAATTGATGGTAGTTCAAAGTGAAACTGAAGGCGTATATAAAGATATTTGAAGGTATGCACATCAGGATAAATAACCGAGTTGTGAAATAAGCTTCATACATGATGTCAATTTAAATTAAATAGTGTAAAACTAGTCCTTTAAACCGTATAAGGTCGTTGAGATTTACATCGGTTTTGTTTAACTCTAAAATTAGCAATATCCAGATGCTTACAAGTAAGCTAACTATCAATATAATAGGTGAAGCATGATCATTGCATCCATACTCTTAACACAACTAAGATAACATTAGTAGTTAAAATTTTAATTAGTGGCTATACTTTATTAACAAATATCTTCAATTGAAGAGAAAGAGTATGGAAATGAGAATAATATTATACTGTACAACTATAATTTAGGCATTATATTAAGCCAGATATATAAGAATTCATTTATAAATAAGGAGAATCGCCCTTTGTTTAAAGGAGGTCTACTTCTCTTGACCTTGACATTTATAGTTGAAATATGATAATTTTCGTATGCATTAAGCTTGTGATATGAAAAGGATTATACATCCTAATTATTACTGGTTGTAAATTTTACTGTAGGAGAAATTATGAATGTTACATAATGTTGTCTACTAATTATTAAAGTTCTAATCATATTTATACTTATGGCTTATAAAAGCTTGGTTCTACTGAAATAAATATTTTACTGTTTTGCATTCTTGATATTTTGTTAATAGATGAATAATAAAGTAGGATTTAGATGAGACTTGAAATCAATAAAACACTTATGTAAGTAATATATTTATATTGAATTTTTAAAACAAGTACATCAGAACTTTGGAGTATAAGGCTAATAATAAGTCTTATTTTCTGAATCTTGGCATTCAGTGTGACGTAGATGGTGTATTAGAAGGTGAATCCAGTGAAAAGAGATATAGATTATACACTGTGTGGACTTTAGTCGCTTTAGTGTTAGAAGCTTGATAAAGAAGTTGCTGAGAATGCTGTTCAATCATGGTTGGAAGAAAAGCTCAAGGAACAATCAGCTTTGATTAAGAAATAACTGGATGATAATAGTTATTGACACAAGTTCATCGATAAATATATAGATAATCAGTAAGTGAAGAGTAAATTGCTGTACTACACCACTGTCTTCAAATGGAACGAAGCTATAGGAATAATCAAAGGGAAACTGAACGCTACAACATAGAAGACGTATCCTGATACTATGCTGATATTTTCATATCAGATAAAATGTTTTTCGTAGTAATTGAAAGCTTATTTTCTTTCCAACTGTGTTTCTAAAAACTTCCATATGTCTACCAAAGTAAACACATTATTAGGACAGAGAAAATGGTTCTTTTTATATCTTTCTTGGCATCATTTTAACATCTATTCTCCTCTATTAGTATCTTAACATTACAAAGACTTATAAATATTGCTCTCCTCACCCTTCAAAGTGGTTTCACTTCTCTGTTGTCTTATGGCAATGTAAATGATGAGATAAATTTCCCAGTTAAAGTTACTTGTTGTTTCAATCCAATACCTAGCCTCTTAATTCAAGGATATTCGACCAGTTGCCGTATAAATGGCCAATCGTTCCAACATTGGTTCTAATTTCCCCCAACTCAACTAATTAGCGTAATTCTGAATCGACATTACCTTCTGTTTCTATTTATTGTCAACATGACGAGTGTATTTGAATTGTTTGTATCCAATACATTTTAATATTGTTCAGGTTATAAGTAACTGAGGAGAATATGAGAAAATAAGTTGGCAACATTCTGCTACACTTCTTGTCTTTGCTGTATTTTACTTAAGAGAACCTATCTGTCCCACTTAACCTTATTCAAACGCATGTGTTGGCACCTGTCAGTTAGAATAGTTTATGATATAGAACTGATGACATCCTGGCCAAAGCTGGTTGATATTCACCTATAAATCAATAATCACAAAACGTTTACTGACATATAGTTGGATGGTATGAGTCAGTCGGCAGGAAACCCTGAATTCCACTTTCCTGCTTGTTAGTCCTTGCAAACAATGCATGTCTGTAACCACGAGAGAACTGATATCCCGTTACGTATCCAAACCGTGTCACCCAGTGTTGTGGTCAGAGACGTTAATAGTGGGCTACTAGGGTCAAAGTTCCTCTTCTATGATCAGTCAGTATACTGACATCTGGACAATCAAAGTTTAGGTTTTGTTGTCACTGTCTGTGGCAAAAACAAGAGCATAGTTATGAGAGTGAAACGTAGTCACATTATATTAAAGCAGCATGAAAACTTCACTATACACAATCAAAATGATATAATATCTACTGACGCTTAGAATTAGTTTTTTTAAAAAGCAGTGGCTTCGCTCCGTATCATATTTTAGTATGAAAACTTGAATTTAAAGCCCGTAATGTGGTGAAAGTGATCAAAACCAGCTGGCACACAGAATTTATGAAAAGGACAGGTCGATAACGATAAAGTGTACATTGACTTAGAATGCAAGATAATCCAAAGATTATGTCCTCACCTTATCAAATTGCCGCTTGATGGAAAGTGATCGGTATATACCATCAGCATAATTGCAGTCAATTTCTGTCACATCAATCGGTGACCTTTAGTCAGTAGATCTGAGAAATTCAGTATCCATAAGTGATGACAGAGCATATAACACGTTGAGTGAGTGCCGCCTTAATTTTGAGCCAACATGGAAAGACAGTAAAGAAAGTCATTATTCAAAGGGTTTTGCAAGCAACGGGGCCGAGAACATGAAATTAACGCTTCAAGGTCACTGGTTTGAAAGGGAAGAATTAACATTGTACCTAGAACAGATGGGTGTCAAGTGGATATAAGCGACTTCATATTAATCTTTGACTAATTCTGTGACAGAAAGGAGCTATTGTACTCTGATAGAGTCACCATTAACTTTGCTAGCACATCGTATCTACAAATAAGGGAAAACTCAAAAACAACAAGTACCAGCTCGCAATAAAATCTAGTTACACCAACAGCAACGGGGTACGACGAGGTTGAAAATTGAGTGGAAACAAGCTACCATGAATGCAGAAAAATAAAGAAAAGTGGGCGTTGAGAATTCTAGGCAGAAAGACGGCAGGAAATCGAAATATAGGTCCAGTGAAGCTAAGAGAATGAAAGTGTATCACAGGAGATAGGCAAAGGTAGAGAATTTCTCCTCTGGAGTGAAAAGACCGCATGAAGTCATCGAGAAGCATGATGTAGTTTACTCGATCATGGAAGGGGACAAAACGGAAACGCACGAACGACAGGCAACTTCTAAAGTGGTCTTAGTGGAACCGTGAATCGGAAACGGAGACACCTAGAAAAGGCAACTATGAAGCAATCCGACAGACTGAAGGAATAAAGTTTTCGAACCAGCTACCTTTAAGTCACCGGCCTGGTGCTCTACCAATGAGCTACGAGATGCGGGTGCTGAACAGGTCCAAGTTTAGGTCTTAGACCGACTGAATAGAAGTAAATAATTATCATTGAAACTATCTAAGATAGTCAAGATTCGGCAAACTGATGTTATTGGCAGTGGTTTGTGACTGAAGGTGAGATGAAAACCTGGGTCAGCATTCTAATCAGTAGTCGTCTACAAACCTCTTTAATTGAATCGAAGTTAAGACTTGGTCTACAGCTGGGCCTCGCAGTACATCTGGTAGAACGCTAGGTCTGTAACTTAGCTACATGTTTACTGTTCCTATGTTGTGATTACATATTTTGTCCATAGGAAGACAAAACATGTCGATTATGGTGTTCCTAAACACAATCTCGTGGTTGGGTGAAAGTTAACTTACATAAAGCAAGTTTTTATTTCTAACTGACCTTAGATAGAGAACTGGTTACTCACTGGCTCTCCAGTTTATGGCCATCAAAGATGAAAACTGTACACAGAAATACTGAAAGTAACTAAGAATATCTTTTATAAAACTTCACTTTATGTTATGAAATTTTACTGACTAGTTGATATCACGAACTTTCAGGAACTTCTAGCAGACTTTTAACCTTGCCGAAAATGACCAAACGTTTCTGTGACTCAATTATAAAGTAATAATGAAAAAGTCAGTTGACGAGGTTATGAACCTTCATCAACTCAGATGGTTACGACATGTACTACGTATGCCTAGTCACCGATTGCCTCGTCACACAATGTTGGCTGAGGTGGGTCCAGGCTGGAAAAAGGTCCAAGGTGGCCAGACTAAAACATGGCACCAATACATGAAGTCTCTGACTGTTGGTTTGAGCCATGTGGGGCGGTGCAGACTAGGTGGTTGGGGTCCGCGGGATAAGAGGAACCAGTGGCTGGAGACTGTAGGTGATATGGCTCAGAACCGATGTCAGTGGCGCAGAAGTATACACACATGATTCTCATCTTAAAGACACGATGCCGATTCTCACCCTTTTCTCATTCTTCCCTTCTTTCTTTAGATACTTTATATTTCTTTTGACTGAATTTTCATATCTTCATCTTTCACCTCACTACTTTTCTACTTGATGTACTGATATGAGTTGTGGCACCTCGGAGGGTTACGCAGTAATGCCTGGTCCTATGTTGATATTGATGATGAATGAATAAATCTGAAGCAAAACAAGTGAACAGTTAACTGAAAATAGCAAAAGATAACTAGCTAAATAGTTTATGAAAATAAACAATAAAAACAAACTTATCAAAAAAACTATTCAAGCCATTAATTACATTAATCAAACAGAGGAAAATTATCCAAAAATGATACCCATTCCTGATTGGTTAATTCTGTCAATTAAAACAATATATAAACAAACATCAATTTAAAATACACTATACCAGGAGAAGTTTAGAAACACAAACATTTTATAACCGTTCACTTTTCAATAGGAAAATGTATGGATTAATTTTAGTTGGTGTCCAAAATTATATTGAGTCTGTATATGGACAAGATGTTTGGATGAGAATTGTTGAAAAATCTCATCTAGGCCATTTAACTTTTCAAACACATAAAGTTTACTCTGATAATGTACCGAAACGCTTATTTCATGCTATAAGTGATGAAATTGGTGACAGTATTGAACAATTAACCTATCAAAATGGTTTATACTTTGCTGCATTTACATCAGATTATGGCTATGAAAATCTTTTACGTGTACAAGGCAGAGATTTTATCAGTTTTTTGCATAATTTAGACAACTTACATGAGTATTTACGCTTTTCATACCCAAAAATAAGACCACCATCATTTTCAATCGTTAAAGTTACTCACAACTGTATACGATTAAAGTATTCAACAAAACGTGATGGTTATACACATTATGTTAGAGGACAATTAGTTACTTTAGCCAAACGTTTATACGATCTTGATATAAGAGTTGAATTAATTGATATGAAAATGATTAATTATGTCTACCATATAACCTATGATATATATGCATTGAATGGAAAACATTGGATTGATCCACAAAAGTATTATATTCAAAAACCTTTGGATAGTTGGGGTGATACAATTGCTAGTAATGAATTCTTTAACATTTTTGCATTTTCACTATTAATTACAAATGATATGAAAATAAAAAAAGCGAGTAATTCATTCTGTAAACTGGATCCAACACTTGAAGGCATGGGATTCAATGAAAAATTTCTACTATCTCGACCATTTATTCGTCCTACATTAGAAGAGGTATGTTTTGAAAAGTATATTGTTTTTAATATTGTTACTTGTATTACATCGTCGTTAATTGGACCGAATTGACCAGTCTGTGTTGGCGGGACGAAATGCGCATCCTAGATTCCACTGCTAGCCACTGCCCATTATTACTATATATAGTATATCTTGATATTCATACTATAAGGCTTTTCAAATCTTATTATGCTGAGTACAGTTCAGACTCCTAAGTTATTTACCATAGCTAACTAGCTAAAACTTCATCATTTCTCGTTTTAAGAGTAGTGATGTATTCGTTGAAGGGTATCGTCTTGTGTTACTGTGTCAGATTCTTCACTTTTCTGCTTACTTTTGTTTATGTCGAACAGAAGATCGGTAACAGGCTGCCCTGAGCGCTAGCATCTTATTCATTCATCCATCACATACACTGTGCCTCTGCCATCTTAATCTCATGGACGGCATAATGGTAACTTACTACTACATCAGTGACAACCAGTTATCTATCACTCAATAGGTTAGGTAATGAAAGTAACTGAGTCAGACAAACATTCGAATTAGTACACTTAGATAGAAATTAGACAGTTTGGAATGTCATTTTGTTTTCAGTGCTTGAGTACCTGAGTCAGATTATTTGGCATTTTCCTGAGTACCATTTTTCCCATTGACTTCCTGAAATGTGGATTTTTATATCTCGGAGCCATAACACAGTTGGATAACTGAATTATCCTCTTCCCACTGTTCTATAATGACCAAAAGCCTTTGTTCACTTATATTAGTTTGAAAACATGGCTGGCTACATTCATCACAATGAAATATCGAGTACCAAACTGTTCTCAGCCACTAATTCAAACTCTGATATGTAAATATATCGGTGAATGGCGTTTTTTATAACCTACTAGAACAAAAAATAATTACTGATGTCCTAATATAAATGCAAGACAAATGAAATGCCCACGTTAGTGAAATTTAGAAATATTGTACACAAGTAAATCAAACCGTCGAACAGTAATAGGTAGCAAGCAAATTCGCGACTACTGAAGATGAAGTAACATCAGTTATTTAGCCAACATTCAAAGGATATCTACAACTAATGATTACTAAGATGGAAGAAGAAAGTAATAAAGATGATCAAGTAATATAAACATATCAATGAAACTACCTGATAACTATTACTTGACAGTTAGATTTGTGAATCTCCTACTTTCTCCGACATTTATTTCGTCAACTTATCAACAGTACTTAAACGAAAGCCGGTGACATCAGTTTGCTGATTGCTGGTCATGAATTTCCAGTCGTATATCTACAATGGAAAGATATGAGGGTATGAAAATCACTCCTGGCACATACTTGCTGCTTGCATTCACTATTCTCAAGTTCAACTTTTATTTGGAAGACTCAGATTCAAAGTTTGAGAAATGTTTAAATATATATAGTCATTTGTATCTGTCTATCAACAGTACAGACAAATACTTTTCTAAATACTATCAGTGGATTAATAACTACCTTTATTTGCTTTTACTGTAAATCCATTAAATGAACATAAAGCTAGCTATTTAAGTAGTATATTATTTCTATGCAGATAATCAATTAGCCATAAAGTTATTAATTAACAAAGTATCTTTTTTTATCCACTGGAATTTGACATTCATTGGTTTAAGATACATTTAGTGAATAAGAAAACTAATGGATAGATAACGCTTATCAAACTGATTACATTCAAAACAACGTTGCTAAGATACTGATGATTGAAAAAAACCTTTTCAATGTTGAAAGCCGCTCTTCAACTGTTTTCAATGTATTTTGGGAAAGCGATAGTTGAAGATGTCTCTTTATGAGGCTTAGATGAATGACCTTCTCTGAACATACATATTCCCCGTGAGCCTATATTGATGATTCTCTAGTACGTGGTGCCACTTAATAATTAGGTTTCTTTTTTATAACCACATATCGTTCTCTTGAACATTGAAAACCAAAAAAGTGGTCCAGCATTGCTCCTTTCAGTTCTCAAAGATAACTGTTACTACTGGGAAGGAGTTATGCATCTTGACATTTGCCAAAATATGGCAACATGATTTCTCTAAAATCATTAGTTATGTGAACCAGTCATGTTAGATAGTTCGATGTATGTACTTTCTAAACGTATTGGGGGACATTACCCTGCCTGACTGCAAATAGATTTAAGTGGAACCATCAGAAGGGAAACAAATCGGCACCTTGTCAACATTAGTGACAGCGTTACGTATGATTCAGTATTCAAAGTCACTGACAATGTGGAAACAAATTTTGGCGAATAGTATGAAACTGTGATTGTGTAGCCGTAAAAGATGAAGTCGAAGCAGAAAAAACATCTTCACTGAACTTCTCATTTTCTCAAGTGTATGCTGAGCCGTATATTGACGGCAAATGTCAGTCAGTAGAAATAAGGTTGACATGTTTGTCAAGAAGACACAGAGTGCTGCTTTTTCTGGTCAATATCGGGCACTGAAGCCAAATATCAATGATGCAAAGAACTACTAGCATACCTCTCATTCTTCAGTATATTATTTGATTATCATAAGAGATTTCGTTAAAGCAATACTGCTCTGTTGCTAATGCAAATACAGTGGAATTGAGACCTAATTCTAAATGGAATGACAAAACGTCTACTGCTTAAGTGATGCTCAGATTACTTTTATTATTATTATTTATTCCCTGGGTTCCTAGTGGAAAATAGAGCTTCAGTAGCACGTCACCATTCCACTCTATTCTCTCAGTCTTTTCAACCTAGCTCCAACACTGCCCACAAACTTTCATTTCTTCCTCATACGATCTCCTTCAGGTCACCCTCACCTCGGACACCCAACTCGTCGTTTCCCATTTGAGTCCCACTCGAGGGCCTCGTCTGGCACGTGATATCTCTAAATGGTGTTCTCAGCGTATCTTCAGTCCAATCCATCTCCACTTTCTTCTCCATATTTGTTGGGTGATAGGTTCTTGGTTGGTTGGTTGCAAGCCAGAGTTCCTTATTTCTTATTCTTTCTGACCATCCAATCTTCACCATTGAGTGAGCATAGGCGGTAGCTGTTGGTGAATGTCTGTAGTCAGTTGAAAATGATTTTAGTAACGCGCCAAGTCTCTCAATCATCATATAGAAGTACTGACTTGACATAGGTGTTGAAAATCTGCATCTTGTTCACGCTTTATGCTGAGTACAGTAGATCTCCACACTGATTTCAGATTAATGAACACCTGTCTTGCTGTCTTTCCGATCCCGGTTTTGACATTCTCATCTGTGCTGCCCCCACCTGTAATTGAAACGATGCTACCTTGCATAGGTAGATGAAAGACACAGCATGCTTTAGGTTTCTCCCATTCATGGTGATTGGTGCTCGTTGTAGTTGTTGTTGGTTGGGTATCTTCATCTCCTCCATCTTCTCTACATTCACTTGAAGTTCTGTCTCCCTCCCTCCCTCCCTTTCCTGCCACGCCACGCCACGCCACGCCACGCCACGCCACGCCACGCCACGCCACGCCTCACCCACCTCACCTCACCTCACAACTTGTTGGTTTTCGCCTGTAGATCCTCGAGTTTGTGCGACAAGACATTAGACATAAATCACCATCTGTGGCAGGGAAATCTATATCTTCCGGGTCTTTTCATCAGTCCAGACAGTGTATGCCCATACTCTCACAGCTCCTCACAGTTATCTGTTGCATGACTCAGTCGAATCGAGTCGACCACAATCAGAAAGATCATCCGTGACAGACAGTAGGCAACCTTGTCTTGTCTCACTCCTGTCTTCACTTCAAACACGTCACTGAGATTTTCATTGTGATATCAATCACTTGGCAAGTGGCCTCATCATGTAGTATAGTATATAGCTATTGAATGAGGTTGGTAGAGATTTGTGGCACTAGGACCGTAGTGTTGACACAGTTGCCGAATTGCTTCTCGGTTGACGCTGTAGATGAAGTTGAGGTAAAGACCCAACTGACCGCCATTCTATGCTCTGTTCTATGATGATGCATAGTGTAGCATTGCAATTTGATCCGCACATGATTTGTTCTTCCTGAAGCCAGCCAGCCAGCCAACCTATTTCGGTCGGAATTTTGAATCCAGCGCATCTTTTAAGTCTCTCCAAAATGACGCCTAATATTTTGTTTGGGTCGGGCAGCAGGATGATTCTGCATCAGTTCTTGCAAAGACATTGGTCTCCCTTCTTTAGGAGTTTTGCAAGGTAGCCCTTCTTCCAATCAATCGGTATGTACCTTTCCTTTCTTTTTTTCCAAACATTCTGCAGTCGTGGTGTGATCATGTCCGCTGTTGTGTCTGCGTGTTTCCGTTGCGTCTGGCGGAATTACATCTGATCCTGCTGCTTTCCCGGATTTCAGCAATCTTTTGGTGATTAGGACCTCACTTCTGCTTTTGTTGGAGGGCTTGTGTCTAGTGATAGTTGTGTGGCTGCCGGTTGTATTTCTGGACGAGTTGCAGGTGGTGGTTGCTTCAGGAGCTTTTCGAAGTGGTCAGCTCACTGCTTCCTTTGTTTCTCCTCTTTGCGAACTGTGTCTCCTTCACTAGCTTTCAGTAGCTTGATCTGTGTTGATCCCTTTCCGGATAGTAACCTGGTTATTTGATATAATGTTGTCAGGTCTCTCCGGCCTGCAGCCTGTTTTGTTTCACTTGCCAATGTGTCATAGAAATGTCTTTTGTTTTTGCGCCCACTTCTCTGTCCAGTGTTTCATATGTTCTTTTATATTCAGTCCCTCTTTTCGTAGTTCATCCTTGTACCGGTTCATTATCTACTTCTCAATCGCTATCTTCTTCTCCCTTCTCTATCAACTTCCATGTGTCTGTCGAGATCCATTCCACTGTTTGTCTTATTTCTTCTTCCTTCCTCACACAGTTATGCAGGTTTCTTTCCACATCTTTTTCAAAGAGTCCCAGTGCTGCTCCACACAGGTTCCTTCAGGGATGTTGTTCAATGTCTCCTATTTTGTCCTGATGGCTGACGTGAAGATATCCTTTGTAATTTCTT